CTCTTATGTTTCAGTTTGTGCCCATTGCCCCTTGTCCTGTTGCTGGACACCACTGCAAAGAGTCTGTCTCCGTCCTTGTGACATCCACCCTTAAGATATTTGTATGTGTTGATGAGGTCCCCTCTCAGTCTTCTCTTCTTCAGGCTGAACAAGCCCAACCCTCTCAGCCTTTCCTCATAGGGGAGATGCTCCAGTCCCTTTATCATCCTAGTTGCTCTCCTCTGGACTCTTTCTAGGAGTTCCTCATCTTTCTTGAACTGGGGAGCCCAGAACTGGACACAGGACTCCAAATGGGGTCTCACCAGGGCAGAGTAGAGGCAGAGGATAACTTCCCGCGACTTGTTGGCCCCACTCCTCTTAATGCACCCCGGGATACCATTGACCTTCTGGGCAACAAGGGCACACTGCTGGCTCATGGTCAGCTTGTCAGTGAATTAAAACTAAATTGCCTTCACTGTAGATGCAGTTGAGGGGAACAACTGAAATATCCAAAATGGAGATGCTTCTATTTTGAGAAAGCAATTAAGAGAGACTTTAGAGAAGATTTCTAATGGAAAACTGAGTTTAGTTTTGACCTTATTCTGTAAAATAGTGTTTCCTTAAAATATAAATTACACCTTAATAAATTTATTTTTTTTATTATCTTACTTGTCTCTGAATTGTCTTAACATAAGTAATTGAATGCTAGAGCAAGTGTGTTCTCATTCATAGAAATTTTAAAGATCTGCATCTTAGAAACTCAAAGTTATAAACCAGAGTTAATTGTTTTCTTGCCTTACAACTTATTTAGTTTCAAGTGGTGTCATGTGCCTCTAAGAGTCATAACTTACTGGTCTAAGAGTTAAATCACCTAGCCCTCAGGTTCAAAGATATTTTGTTCTTTTCTCTTTGTGAATTTGTAGTCCTGTGAATAAGTTATGCAATAGGTTAGGTGGTTAGTTGTTTGCTTCTTTGTTTTAATACAAGAAACATGGCCTTTTTTAGGATGACAATTGACTGTAAATTGGATCCCAAGTTGTTACAAAACCAGGTTGGTTGTCACTAGGCCATATAACTGAAAGCAACAACAACAAGAAGCTCCCAGAGTATCATGGGTTTATTTTTTCTGATGAGCCATATGGAGGTGGTTACTACTGTTGTTTAAATTCCCATTGCAGGTTACATCTCTGTAAAAATCACCTAAAAGAATTCACACTGCATCTGTAATTTACCCTGTTGCCATCTGACAGTCACCTACAGAACCCTGTTCTCAGGATTTAGCTATGGTATCAGGTGCAGTAGCACATCCTTGTTCTGAGTTGCGTGGTATTGGAAAGAATTCCGGAACTGTTCAGGTGCAGTAGGAATCATTAGGATCACTCATGTGCCCCAGTTTCTGCTCTCAAATTCTCATGTCCTGGAAGAAGTGGTTGGGTTTTGACATGCTACCCGCCCCCTGGTAATATAAGGCTAGGTTTACTTTATGAATGTGCAACTTTAAAAGATACATAATTGCATTCATTTGTAGCTTGTTTCCAAGCCAGTTAAAGTTAATAGCTGTTTGGAGTGACTGCAGTTACTCATGCACAGTAATGCCTACTTAAACAAAATACATGATACTTCATTTTTAATTATATTTTTAAAGCAAACCGCAGTTTTTCATTCTGTATTCTTTAGGCTGTAATTTAAAACAATACATAAAACAAGCCAGATAATGTAAATTACTGGATAGCCACTGTATTTTCCTGTTTGCAACAATATAAACAAGGTAATTGATTTCTTTTTAACTTTTGCAACAGAAAATAAAATTACCCAAGAAAACAGCCAGACGATACCCAGCGTATGAGCTCTATCTCTATGGGGAAGGAAACTATGCCGAAGAAAACAAAAATCTCCTATTAACAGGAATTCCAGTTCTCTTTCTTCCTGGGAATGCTGGCAGTTACAAACAAGGTAAGCGTTTAGCTAAGTTATAGGTATGTTACAAAGAGCTCTCATATTTATGCATTACTTAATGGCAAGAAGTTTTCTGTTTGAAATAATACGAACAAAAGTGATAATGGTTGATCATATTACAGTGTAGATATCCTTGTTAGTCCATGATTAATTTCAAGCAGTCAAAAGACTTCATTTTTATTTGAAATCAGTTGGACAGTTGAGCTATGATATTTTTCTGGAGTAAGACTTTAACTTTTGAAAGCTGGAAATAGTACAGTTTGTGCCATACTATGGCAGCACCGCACCCTTGCTGTGTTTTTGGTCACAAACATCTAGTTGGTTTTGATTTGAACAACGTTTAGTGCTGTCATGCGAAATAAAACAAGACCTGAATTTGATTAGAAGAAACTGAACAAGCTACCATCTGTGATGTGAAGTAATTATATGCTATAGAAATAAGCATCATCTTGTGGCTTGCCCTGTAGCTTCGTTATTTCCCACCTCTCTATGTAGTGGTGTGTTTTCTTTGGCATTCCTGCTTTACACATAGCCGTCTTTTGTTTTCCAGGTTATTCCCTCTTAGGCTTCTAGGCTCCAAATGAAAAGTAGTAATAGTTTTAAAGCATTTTTCTTTTTCATTGTAAATACCAAAGTTAGTAGTTTGATGAACATGAAGTATTGTCTTTAACTGTTTATTCAAGTATCCGATATTCCTTCCAGGCTGAGTTTGTCAGGCTGTTATTTTTGTTCTCTAAAACGTGGTCTGAAACAGTTAGTAACACTCTTATGATGTTAGCAAAATTGATGTGTATGTATGGGGAAAACCACCACTGTCTAAACCCTGATGTCTTACTGTGATAATTCTTCCTTATATTTGCACTGAACTTGATGATTAAATTAACTGATTTCAGAGAACAACATTACCTGCTTAGCTTATAAAAAAGTAAAATATTTTGCTGACAGATACTTTCAGAAAACCCATACAGACTTGCAGGCACAATAGTATCCAAAGAAGATTCCGAACATGATGATTATGAGGGATACCATATGGACTTTTGTAGTTGCATATAAAGTATTGCAAATCTGTGAATTAATGCTGTCTCTAAAAACACAGCAGTACATCACTACGCAGGAAATAAAATAGTACTTTCAGGGTATGTTAGGAATCAAAAGGGGCTCTGAGCAACCTGATCTAGTTAGCGGTGTCCCTGCTCACTGCAGGGGGGTTGGACTAGATGACCTCTAGGGGTCCCTTCCAACCCAAAACATTCTATGATTCTAAGAAAAACTTAAACTAGGTGAGTAGAAGTACTAAGTGCTGTGGATATAATATGCTACTTAAGATCAGTAAATATTTAAACATTTATTCTTTGTTTTGAGAAATTGATTTAGGGAGACTGGCAATAAGTTGTATGTGCATTTTTCAACATCTTTGTTAAAATTGTTCTGCCTTAGTGGCTCAGAATAGTTTTTGGTTTATTATGAAATTTATGAAAATTCATATTTTGTTCAGAATTTATTGTGGGGTAACACACGTTAATTCTGATACCTAGATGAGGAGAGAAGGTGTTGCTATTGTTATTTTCATACTTGTTTAAAATGTCTTCATTGCTCAGCAAATATGAATGTAAGTGCTGTTGCTGCTGCCTTTTCTGGGCTTGTTATTTTGATGTGTTACATGCACTTTGGAAACATGTTAATTCATCATCTTTGAACCTTTAAAATTTACAAAATTGAGACGTTGAGGAAAAGATGGTGGTCTGGTTTAATTATCGGGTACGAACCTGGGACTGGGAGAATTGAGATCCTGAGTTCTAATTAGGAACCTGTCACATGCTTGCCTTGTGATCTTTGGCAATATTCTTGTTCCTTTTACCATGACCTCCAAGATAGAAAGTTGTGATAAGATATTTGATCTTTTAAATGTGATAAGATATTTGATCTTTTAAATGTGATAAGATATTTGATCTTTTAGGTCTTTTCAAACCATTTTGAAGATGTTCTTATTGCTTATTAGCTTTAGATAGAATTGGTGAAATGACTGACTACAAATTAGATTTATCATTTTCATCATGGTGATAATATCTGTTTAAACATATAAAATATTTAATAAATATTATTTTCCCATTTCATGAGCATTGCTGAAATTTGTTTGATAAGTTAATTTCTATAGCCTCCAAGAAGGAGGATTCTGCAGGCTGCAGATCTCTGAAACTGTTGCACTCTAGAAGAATTTTCTGTGTGCTGGATTTGGGCAGACCTTTCTGGCAATCAGTTACTTTATATACTTGCTTTTGGGACTTTCTCTTTAAAAACTACCATGCTTTTTTACTTGCAGCCATTACTGTTCCCATCCTGCCATATCTCCATGGAAACTCAGGGACAATTCTGCACTCAGAAGGCTGCATTAAATAGCAGCTGGGGTTAGACAGAGAAGACAGGTCAGAAGCAAGACATTGTAAACAGAACATTTTCTCCCTCAAGGTTTTAGGTGGAAAGGTGTCCTTTAGGGATTGATTTTCCAATCCCCTGTACATGTCTTGGTGGTATTTGGGAATGTTGTCCTAGAGCTGATGATCTTCAAAGGAATTTCAGGAAAGCCTAGCAGTAGCAATTCCTCTAGAGTTGAAGTCAAGAATTCTTGTTTTGCTGCCTTGTCCTCGTGGTGGTAACAAGATGCAAATGAGATGAGAAAAGCAGCCCTCAGGTGGAGGAACAAATTCCATGATCTTGTATAAATTTTTTTTTTTTGGTCATAAAATACTTCTGTAGCCAGTGGTAAGCTAAGTCGCATGGTTACCTGCCGTAAGCATAGTATGCAGTTCTTGCTAACTCATTCCAAACTTTATTTTCATCTAAGCAGGTTTGTTCTTTTCTACGTTCTTCTGTAAGCTCTTATTATATTTACAATTTTTTTTTAATCAAGAGGGATTCTTATAAAAATAGGAAGCAGTTATTTTTTTTTCTCATTTTGCAATTTGCTTCTCATAGTGACTGGCTGATAATTTTGCTCAGATTATTTATATCTTCAAATCTGTTTTTGTAAAACAATTGTGATTGTGTATTAGAAAAGAGATTATTTGCTTTTGGATGTCTTTTTCATCCTTTTTTTTTTTTTTTTTACTTCCAGAAATGACTTGAGATGAACAACGGATTTAAAATAACATTTGTTTCTTAAGAGATTATATATTTATGTGACTACTAGACTGTTCTAACTGATGTGGTTTCTTTTCCTAGTACGCTCTCTTGGCTCCATTGCACTTAGAAAAGCAGAAGATGTTGACTTCAAGTATCATTTTAATTTCTTCAGTGTCAACTTTAATGAGGAGTTGGTTGCATTGTACGGTGGTAGTCTGCAACGACAGACCAAGTTTGTGCATGAATGCGTAAAAGTAATTCTTAAGTTGTACAGGGTAAGTAGTGACATGTGCTGAATAATGTACTTACATTTTGGAATGGAATTCTGGGCTGTCTTTTTTGCTGGAAAACTGATGAATGATGAATAAGGGAGGGAGACTTTATAATGTGTGTAGATAATTGAGTGTGATAATAGTGCAATGGAGAAGTGCTGCTCTTTAATAGGTTTTTAATGCTTGTGATGATCCCAGAGCCTTGGTGTTAGGTTCTGTATTGTGTTTCTAATAAATACTTCCATGCATGATGTATGCTTCTTTTTTTTGTAGTAGAGATGTAAACTTTCCCTAGCTTATTAAAGTATTAATATAGCATCACCTTATATCCAGTTTTCTCTAGGGAAGTTCTTCGATAGCCTATGTCCCTAAGAGCATCAAAAATTAAAATATGCTGAAGTTTCTTATGTTTGCACAGGCTATATAATATTTCCTTTCAAGCTGCAAACATCATGTTAAGCACATTTTTTTGAGACAGCAAGTAAATTTATATTAATTTTGTAAACTTAGCAAATTGATACTAGTTAATATTATCCTTGAGAGGACATAAGGTTTTTTTTACCCCCAAATTAACTTACAACTGATAACCATAGTTCAATGTCAAATCTATTTTTGATGTGTCTAACTGCTCTCTGCTTAAGGATCGAGAATTTGCACCGACCAGTGTTGCGATAGTAGGTCATTCTATGGGTGGTCTTGTTGCAAGAGCATTGCTTACTCTGAAGAATTTTAAGCCTGAACTTATAAACATCCTCATTACGCAAGCCACACCTCATGTTGCACCTGTAATGCCTTTAGACAAATATCTTACCGGTAAGTATAGCAAGCTATCCAATACATTGTATTTCTTTATTGATCCTCTCAAGCATTGATAGGTGAGATTCTTGCAAATCAACAGCAAAATGTGCTGGTTGTATGAGAGCACTTCGATACTGAGAGAAAGTAAAAGTGTCATATAAAATGGATTATGTGGGCTTCAGCTTCTGTGCAGGGCCTGGAACTCTCAATAATTTGTAATTTTAGTGAGTTGACCTCTCTAGTGGCTTTCTTTATCAAATGAATTGCCTAAATAGAGTTGCTAAATTTAATGTTTGTCATGCCCAAAGGTTGGGAGGGTGAGAATATTGAATACAGATATAATTATATATTTTATGTATATTTACATAAAAGATTGTATTTTCTGCTCACCTAAATAAATGTGGAATAAAAAATGAAGTATAATCATTATGCATGTACTATACACTTCTTGAAAAGCTAGATTTTGACTAAACTATACTGGTGAAATATGTGCTCAGTGATAATTGTGCTGCTGCATGTAGATATTGAGGGAATTGGTGAAGGAAAGGGAATAGACATTTATGTCATTATTCTCTGTGGCACCCAAGAGGAATGGATTATCTTTAGCTGCTGAGTTTGATTTATTGTGCTTGTATTAATTCTCCCTGTTACAATTGATTGCAATGCAATACTTCTTCCTTGCTGACTGTTTCTGGGCTGTGGCTGTCCTTAAAATAAATCTGTGATTTGCTACTTAAATGATATATGTGCTCAGCTGATGCAGAAAATATAAGTGTATCTGTCTTTCCTGACTGCTACCTCCTTGGGGTTAAAACAACAATTTTCCTTCCTTATATGAATCAAAAGTGATAATTGGACCTTGAATGCCTCTAGGGGGGCTTACAGAAACTTTTAGTTAAGTGTTTCTATAGCTTTTTTATATATCAAATAGACTTATGGGGAAATTGTGTTTGACTTTAATATATTTTATAGATTTTTATACAGCTGTAAACAATCATTGGATTCTAAAGGCCCAAGACTTAAGAAATTTAACTACCCTTTCTGTGGCGGGAGGATTCAGAGATTACCAAGTTCGTTCAGGACTGGCTTTTCTACCAAGATTGAGTCAGCATGACAGTGCCTTATCTGTTGTGGTAAAAAAGCAAACTATTTTTTTGGTTTTGCATGGAGCTATGTTAGATAGCTATTTATGTAATGCATGTATCAGTGTCTAATTAGAGTCTATATATGCAGCATAGTATACCTAAATAAGAAAATACTACATGTGAAAACACAAAGTAGATAGTGTACGGTTATAAAACCACAAATAGTTGATGTAGTATAAATGAGTGTCTGCTGGAAGAAGATGTGTTGGGGTAGATTTGAATCATCTACCAGTTGTTACTGTTTCTTCTCACCACCTTCTTGCACCTTATTAGTTTCAGAACACAGGTTTTATTTTCCTGCACTTTTACAAGAGGTGTGTATGTGGAGACTGACATGTGCAGTATAGGAGTAGACTGCTGGTTTAATTATAAAAAGATGGCTTTGGCTTTGAGCCTTCTCTTTGTATCTTTGTTTTTCAAAGAACTTATGAATAGAAAGGATTTACTGGATCATCAAGTCCAGTCTTCTGCTTTTGCAGGCATCTATCTCCTTCCAAAATTAATCAAGCAACATCACAGACACAGTTAGGCTTGTCATTCCATCCCCCCACCATCAGCCTGTCCCCAGTGTGGAAGAAGCTGGAAAATACTCCTCAGTAGGAAGAAAACTTGTAATTTCCAACTTCCATTTACTGTACAAGTCAGCTTTTAAATGCATTTGTTCTGACACTGACTTGAAATGTTATCTGAAATAGATGTCATTGCCTTGGTGTTTACTCCCTGTCCATTGTACAGAAAGCTGTCTATAAATAGTCTCAGTTCGGATTCTGCTAGGCTAAGAAGATTAACTCTGCATTCCCTTTGTCCTAGTAACCATTCCCTGCATCTGCTCTACTTTCATTACTCTTGAGTGTTGGTGACCAGAATTTTGCATGAGATCTCATGTCTAGTGGTATCAGTTCTTTCTCATGCTTTTTTGATTTTTTTTTTGATTTTGGGGGTTTTGTTTTGTTTTGAGGGTTGTTTTGTTGTTTGATTTAGGTTTTTTTCTTCCCGGCTGTAATGTATTAATAGTTCCATAGCTTACTTGAATCAAGTTGTGCAACTATGCGATGAGCTCCATTTATGGTAGACATTTTTGATATTATTACTCCCTAAAATGCAATACACTTATACAAATGAATAGCTTCAGACTGGCCAGTTCTTTCTGCATGGTGTTCTGACACTCCTTTCTGTTGAGGATGCCCTGGCTTTTTCAGCAGCAGCTTTCATTGGCATGCTTCTATTCTTGTATGCCAGGATCACTTATTAAGTAATTAATTTATAAATTGCTAATGACTAAGATTAGTCATAGAAGCAGTCTTTGAAGAAATTTTTTGTAAGTTTCCTCCATACCATTATTTGCCCTTTCACCATTAGTCTCTGCTATCTAACATGGATAACTTGGTCATTTTGTTTTACGAGTCTTGTTTTACGAGTCTTGTTTTACAAGTGCTTCAGCACTTGTAAGATTTTTGACTGAAGAAGCCATTCTGTTGCACCCAAGTCCCCGAAGCTCTTAAGATAAACACTTTTCTTCTTAATAATTGTGCAAATATGTTTAAATAAGGAGGGGAAAGTCTTGCTTAGAACTTTAAAATGTTGAATAATAACAAAATTTTAACTTTTTTCCTTCCCCAAACAGAGCTCAGCTGTGCCTAGAGCTTGGGCCTCCACAGACCATCTCTCCATAGTGTGGTAAGCTAATGGAACAAAGGTTAATTGACTGACATCACCCTGTTATCACATTATACAATAATTTAACTGCAGCATATTATTTTGATGTCACTTTTGACCGCTTTTATTCCCCATGAGATTTCCTTTCTAGATTTAATTTTACTTTCTTTGTCTTACAGGTGCAAAGAATTGATCCTGGCTACCATTAGAGCTTTTTTTGATCTCATAGATGAAAATACAAGGCAGGTTTGTATATGTGATCTCCTGTACGTTTCCCCATCACACTTTCTTCTTCTATTCCAGAATTAATTCCTGCTTAATCGGGACAAATATCACCCTATTATACGGAAAACTCCTTTTGGATTATTCTTAGTCATGCTGAAAAAATTGTTGCTGTTTTGTACCAGTCACTGAAAAACCCTGTGACTTTGTGTTGTTTGATCAATGTGTCAGAAATAATTAGGTGTTAACTCAGTTTTTATTATTGACTGCTTGATGCTTTGTAGCTGGTGTGTGGACTGAACTTTTGTTCCATAATGCAACAGGTTAATTGACCTTGCACCAAGATAAACCAATTTTGCTAGCTGTGTAACTTCGAGTGTGACCTCTCAATGTGTGTTTCTCTGAAGGGTGAAAAACTGTGATAGTTTAATGCAGACATAATACTTCTGGAACTTCCCTATGTGTTGTCATCATAGTGGCCAGCACATATTTGTGGTGTTCTTTTGCAAATAGCAATTATAAAAATAGATGCAAGTAAACTATTAGTCTATTTGTTTACCTTCAGCTACCATTATTTATTGCTTTTCTAAATAAATATCCTGCATCTTAGTTTTTGAAAACTGTTGGGGAAATCTCCCATTGTACTCTGTTCTCTTTCTGAAATGTTATGCAGCAATAAACGTGAATTGGAATTAAGGTCCAAGAGGTTGAAAATCTGTAAGAGCAGAGCCCCAGACATAGAAGAGGAAGGCTTCCAGGTGTTCTTCTTGAGGCTGTTTGGGGCAGACTTCTCTAGTTTCTTAGGTGTACTCACTTTAACATGTGATTTAGAGAGACAAAAAGGGGGGGGGATACGGTTGTTCTGGAGTTGACTGGCAGTGTGCTGGAGGTTAAAACTCTTCAAAAATTGCTTGTAATGGCCACAATTTTGAAGAGCTGAATAGACAAAAATTATTCCTGGAAATTTGATTTTTTTGGGAGGGGGGAACCCAACTGCAAACAAAAGTGAATCCCAATGTAGCTCTACAGCTGTTTAGATGCTTGAAATATTAAGACGAGATGTAGTAGGCTGGACTTGTGAACTCAGACTAGCAAATATAAATGTGAGAATTTTTCCTAAACTCTGGCATAAGTGTGCTATTTCAGGAAGAATGCATGTGTGTCTGTAGAGACAGTTTAATAGAATGGTTTCCTTGTGTTAAGCAACTAAGCTTCTAAAAGTTTTAGCTATGCTTTATAACATATGTAGACTTTTTGTATTACAGTGATTGACTACTGATGCCACTTTGTTCAGATAATTGAATTTAGAATAGAAAGTGTACCATGTCTTCCAACAATCTCTCCTGCCTCCCATCCCCAAAACTGTATTGTTAGCTATGATCATATGATGATTGTAAATCACACAAATTGGTAAAATAAAATCTGACAATATGCTCTTTTTTTAGATAACTGAGGATCCAAAGAAGAGAATGTCTGTACTGAATCACCACTTTGTAAGACACCCTGCAAAGATATTTGAGGAAAATCCTGAAGTTTTCACGGAACTCACAGGTGTGCAGCAATTTTCTTTTGAACAGGATTCAGTGATACTCCTTTGTTAATAGTTAATCTTCTCTCTGTCAAACTTCTGGAATACATTTTGTCCTTCTTCAGACATTGCTAAAATGATACATGTGTTATAGACCTAAACTATTATCTTTTGTGTGGTTTCAGCAGTAAATAGATGAAAAGGGGTAGGAGCAAACATCTGTCACTTTTATATGGCTTAGATTCTGGGGGATGAGCGGGAGTCATATTTACACCAGGTTGTCCAGTAGACAATCTCAGAAATTGGAAATAGCTGCATGTCAAAAGTACAGTCTAATCTATGCTTACATCCCGTACTTGCAAGAGAGAGAGTATGGGTGTTGTAGAGCCATTGCATTAATTTTTTTGCTGTTCATGCAAATCCTGAATATTCAGATCTGCTTCATCAGTGACTTCCTTTTTTTCATGACATGGCAGGGTAAAATGGACTGCACACTAATGGTTTCCTTGTAACTGCTAAGAATGCATAGTTAAAGGTGAGAAATTTTGACTGCATGGAGTCCTGGGAACTAAACAGAACTTTTCCAGGGCACAGCTGTATTCCTTGTTTTGCTGAAGTGGGCTGAACCATTTTATGAAAACCATTTTATTTTAGGTATTTTCTTAATGTAAGCTATTGCAGAAGTACTAAGGTAGCTTCAACTTTGGTGTCTGGTTTTGGCCACCCTGGTATAATGAGGCATTTAGGCATTGACATATACTGAAATGAGTATGGAGCAGAGGACCACCAGAATGATTAACTCCTGGGGCATAGGATATGGGGGAGAGAGGCTGAGTGAACTGGCATTTTTCACCCTAAAGAGAATGCTAAGGGTGATCCTGTTGCTGTCTTCAACTGTCTAATGAAAAATTGGAGAGAGGTGAAGCTAGATTTTTCTTAGAGGTGCACAGTGATAACACAATAGCCAGTAGAGTCCATTTACAGCAAAAGAAATTCCAGTTAGGTACGAGGAAAAACTACTTCACGAGGAGGCTGAGCAAACACTGGAACAGGTGCCCAAATTGGTTGTGGAACTGATTTGTTTGTTTACCTTTTTTTAGGACAGTTTTTAGCAATAAGGAGGAATATGTTTAAATAGGATTTCCTGATTGCATCTTATTTGTGGTGACCTCTTGACGCTTAAAATAACAAGTTCATAACAGAAATTTAGGTAGTAACACAGAAGAAAGATATTAACCTTCTTGCATGGCAGTTTGCATTGTTTGTATTTTTGATCTCTTCATTATTCTGTCCTACTCTTTTTCTCCAGATATATCTTTAAACTGCTACTGTTTTATTGTACGTGTTGTTCACTTCATCGTTGACTTGCTTCTATACAAGTTTTTGTGTTTTCTTAAAGGCTGACAGGAACAAAGATTGGGGCTGTTTCTAATGCTGCCTCAGCTTTAATCAGTCACCCTGTAATTACATTAGTATTATTCAGTTTCTTACTTGTTTTGTTGCCTTGAGAGCTTTGTTTCAAGATCCATAGGGGTCTAATTTTACAATTAATATGTAGGAATTGGATCCTAGGGTTTTGTTTCTTGTGTAACTGATGATAACTGTTGCATGTAATTCTAAGCAGTAGCAATCCTGAGTGTTGATTAAAGGTTATAAAGTTTATGGCCATTAACAGATAAAAGATAAGTACTTGTTGATAAATATAATATTTTGGAGGCACAGATAATAGTTCCTGCAGCATGGCATATAAATACATACTTATTTTTAGGAGCTTTCATATGGATTACAGTCAAAGCCTCAAAATGGACTTACTCAGTTTACAATGTAAGTAATTTTTTTTCCTCATTGTGTTTTTGTTTTGTTTTGTTTTTTTTTACTAATGAGCATTTTTTTTTCTTTTAAGGATTCTGATGGAAAATATTTCACATTTCCTCTTGCAAGCCACAGAAAATCATACAGTCATTTTTACTGTGAGAACAGTATGTTGGTGAGAAAATACTTCTTTAATGTCTGCAGTTTGTTTATAAAGCTGTATCTTTAATTTAGATTTGCTGCAGTTTTAAGGCAGTTTAATGAACAGTTATTGAAATTACTGACATCCATTTATGTTTACAGCCTAATACATTGTGTTAGATGTACTTCCTGTTTTAGCATGTCACACTTAGTGTTCAAGATCTGAAATCGTCAATGTCACTCGAACCTCAAATGTTTTATTTTTGACTCTTATGGGTAGCCCAATTATCCTTTAATTTAGTGCAGTTCTGTATTGATGGTTTTGAATGAAGAAGTTATTTTTTAGTGCTGCCAGGATTCAGCCATACTTCTGCTTTGGGAAAGGTGTTTACAGGTTTGCTTTCCCATAATAAAATTTAAATGAGCCTGAAAGACTACAGAGATCTTCCACTAAACAGTGGAAGCGAATGGAAGTCAGATGAGAAAACAGCACCCTTTCAATTGTCACCTCTATTGAGAGGAGAGGCGATAATGTGCATTTCTTATATTTTTAGCTTTAGACACATAAATTCAGCCAAAATGTTTTTGAAATTTTTTTAAAAATATGTTTTGAAGGAATGAATGCAATCTCTTGGCAAACTGGAGATGGAAAAATACACTTTTTAGAATTATGTGAGTGTTTTAGATTAGCAGCAAGAAAATTGAGATGCTTTCCTGTTCCATCCTGCCTGTCCCTGTTGCCACTCCTCCCCTTACCAAGGAAGAGGCTCATACCACCATTGTAAAAAAAAAATAAAATAAAATAAAAAAGTCTGTATTCCCAGTGCTTTTTTTAATGTCCTTCCCAGTAGCACCTTCAATATTTACGCATTTGTTGTGATCTTAGTTGTGTTTTAATAGGGTAACTAGCATTTGTTATAATATCTTAAAGACAGGACTAGTACTGCTTGAAGAGGAGGAGGTACAGAACGATGTCTGAGATACTTGCATCGTGGTGTTATCGCTTCAGAACGCTTAAATTCTCGAGGGGGCAGCAGTAGAATATTAAAAATCTCAAGCATTCTAGACTAGTTAGGATAGTACCTTGAGACATTTATTTTAGTTAGAAAAGATTAAATTAATAAAATTGAATTTTACATGATATGTAAGGCAGATTTTTTTTGACGAGAAATGATAAAAGTTTGTTTGCTTAACCTTGTATTTGTTTTTAGAAATTTTATCGATTCATAACTAGAAAAGGTGGCAAATGGAAGTTATTTAAAATGGCTCCTAGAAACCCCCACTTTTCACTCTTATGCTTCATCTTTCCATCCTTGTAATTGTAATTCCAAGATTATGGTATCAGACTTCTAATAGACAATATCACTTGCTGTTAACACAGAAGTCTGACTTCATTGTGGAGTGAAGAAAAAAAAAGTTGGTGAATATCTTTCATTATAAATAATTGAGGAGATCTGAGACAGACTGCTTTTATCATAATTTTTGCTTTTACACTTTGGCATTTGACATCCTTGTGAGAGTTTAGTCACTGGTGATAGCTGCTGTCAGACACAATAAAAAAGGAGTGAGATGAAGATGGAAGTTTGTTCTTTTTAGTAACTTAACTGCACCAAGGTTCTGCTATCAGAGGATTTTCAAAACAGTTGCTGACATTTGGTGTACTGAAACAGCATATAGAAATTTTGGAGAAGGTTATCAGCATTAACTCGAGCATTGTTTGGAGTAAAGAATTGCTATTTTTAATACATTTATAAATACATTCACACATAGGTAATGTACTATTTTATGATATTGACTTTACAGGACACAAGTAGCTGGATTTATGGCTGCATCAACAGCAGTTCATCCATGTGGTGAGTATAAACAGTTTCTGTTCTCTATTCAAATGGATCTTGTGAGACTACATTTGAATTTAAAGCATATAAAATATCCTCCTCCTCCTTAGGAAGGAAGATATTGGGAAGAAAAGTAAAATTCTCACTGTGAATAATTCATGCTTTCTGTATCACCAAGAAAACAGGAAATAATAGGCTTTCTCAAAATTACTGCACGAATGCAGAATGAAATAAGTGAACTTTTTCTTCTTTAAGCTCTATTTTTGACCTTCATTGCAGTGAAAAGTTGCTCCGGTTGCTCTTTGTGGACACTACATGCCGTGCTGGATTCCTTAATTGTGTGTTTTGTAGCATCTCTTTAGAATCCTATGGCAGAAGACATCAAATTGTCACTCAAAGCCTTCAGAAGAATGGGTTGAAGCATCTCTTATTTTTTTTCTTATTCCCAAATTGCTATTATCATATGAAAAATATTTAGAAATGTGGGTGATTTAGTGATTATTTGAATTGGGTCATTACAACTGTTACAAAATGGATTTAAAACACTGGTTTAGCTTACTTTTGCAGAGTAAGCTCAAAGTAAATTCAATCTACCCTTCAGATTAGGGAAAGCTTCTAAGTGGAATTGAGCTAGCATAGTATTTATCTGTTCTGGGATCTGTGCTGAGGGGTATAGCCACAGAGCCTTGCCTCCAGCGTATGGCCAGATGTCATAATTACTTTTTCCTGATCCAAGGAGAAGTCGGCTGTTACTCCTTTGTACAACCTTTGGTCAGCACCAAGTGTAGGTTAGGCTAGTTCAGGGCTGCTACCTAAAGCCTCATCTAATAATAACATTTTTGCTGTGGACTGTGTCCTGAGGTCGTGTAACACTATTTTGAGACATGGAAGTATCCCAGTATTCTAAAAGTTTCAATTTTGACTGACTGACTGAATGTGTTGCAGTTCAGTGTGTTAATATAAGTACACACCATTTTAGAACTGCTGCAAGCTCTGCAGCAGCTAACAAAATTGTTTTATATTGTATGTTTTGGTTCCCATAGGTTCCCATAGGAAAAATTGGTACTTTTGATGTTTAAAAGATGTTAATAAACCTGTGTGTTAATTCAATGCCAGTGCTGTTTTAGCTCTTTAAGAGTTTTCATTATGTGTCTGAAGTTGCATGGCTAATAACTGCTGAATGTTTTGTGTATGACAAAGTTAGAGCTTTGCTTAACTTGTATTTGCAAAAACAAGATTTGTAGTGTCTGAAATTATTATAGTTTGATAAATTACTATGGTAGCTAACTGCAGTAGACTCAAACTTGTTCTCAATTTAAAATCATGTGAATCCAGAGAGAGAGAAAAGCTGGTGTGTTAATCCACTGTGATAATGTAGGGCATGCATAATAAATATGCTTATCCTTTAATGTGCATGACTTTTTACAGCCTGGAAGCTACTGATTTATCCTGGAATGCTGAGTTACTTCCAACCACCAAGGTAAGTATTGTACATAACTTGCAGGGGGGAGAGGTGCTTCCTGGGGTAGTTGCATGTCATGGAAGAAAGATCTGTTCTGTTTACAGAATTGCAACACGCAGTTGTAGTCTAGAGGAAGGGGTACAAGAGGTGTGGACATCTGGGAACCAGCAAGGGGCAAGCTAAGGGATGTGTTCAGTAATAGCTTTCCTTTTTTTTTTTCCTGTTTGCTCTTTTTCTTTTTTTCTCAAGGTTGTAATACTGAAACTTCAGGACTATACTTCTTTGTCCCATATTGTCATTCAGGTACCACCCACCGTTGGCAATAAGGTAAAAAAAAAAAAAAAAAAAAAAAAAAAAAAAAAAAAAAAGAAATGCAGAAATTGCTTGCTTAATGTTTTCATAGTTTTCAGATGCTATGATGGAAGGAAAAGGAAGTTACTTTGAGAAACCATAGTCCTACCTTCCAGTGTGGTTTGAAGGTAACTTCGTTATCTTCTGTAAGCTCAGAAACATTTTCATTTGATAAAGTACCAAACACAAGGCATGAGTAGTACTTGAAACATACAAAGCAACAGTTCTCAAACCAGTTTTTACAGTTCTTGTTGGAGGCTCTAATGTTCTTCCTTATTTTTCTTAATACTCTGATTGCATGCCTGAATATTTATCTTTTTGAACAGTCAGTTCTCTTATCCAGAGTAGCAGAGAATCCTGTAGATAATTGAAGACACCACATATGGATTCTGGGGAGCGTAGTACAGATACCTCTGCAAGCTCTGAGACCACAAATAATGTGGTAGACTGAGTTTTGCAAAGTTTGATAGTTCTGAATCTCACAGATGAGTTGGGTATCTTTGCATCAAGCCCTCTCTGGATCCCAGTAAGAGGAATACTTGCAGCGAATCTAAGCAGACTGCATATTACCCAGCTGGGTCTGGCAGGCCTTTCTAGTTAGTCCTGAAAATGGCAGAACATTGAACTTGAATTTAAAGTCTAAGTAGATCTGACATTCCTTTCTGCCACACAAATACAGTCTCTGCATCTGTGGTATAATAAACCATGATCCAAGAAATTATTCACAGCTGAAGTGATTAGAATGATCGTTTATGAGTGTATCTTCAGGTAGTTGTGACACAGATATCTTGCAGTTCTGGATAAGCAAAGATAGAAGAGGTCACTTGTGACATGTAACCTGCTAAGTTGCAGTCCAGTGTTAAATCTTAGAAACTGCTTTTAAGAAATAAACAAATGCTGGATTTACAATGGGATGGAAAATAACATTCAAGTGACCTAAATACTTCTCAGAGATGGTACAACTCATACCTGCAGGATAGTCTGCTTTATTTTTGCATGATTAAACTTCATGAGAGAAATGTTCTGTTTGCTTAAGAAATTGTATCTAGAGTTTGGACAAGTCACTCTCCTTTGCAACACCTCCCTTCCTCACCCCCTGAGAAGGAGGGATGTGAACTGAATTCTAGTCGTTCTCAGCTGTTTGAATAGCCTTTCTGAAGGCTGTTGCAAATGGGTGAGAGCCAGAGTAACCTGGAAATCATGCTTAAGCTACCCAAATTTGTACTGCCACGTATAGTAACAAACTACCTGCCAGTCCCTATCAGTGGAGTGCAGAGAGGTGGCTTTTCAGTATTTGTGTCCTGGATTCTGCCTGAGCCTGTAAATAGAATTTGGCAAGTGCACAGGATTTATAGTCTTGTGCTCGGTTTAGATCTGTATTTAATATCCTGAATTGCAGTATACTTTGGACTGTGAATTCTTCAAAGAGGATTCCAGAACAGTACAGCTTCCTGTAACACATCTTTTTTCATTTGGTAAGTATAGCATATTACTTTTGGAAAAAAAAAAGGAAAACAAGTATTACTAGTATTTGGATAATAAATTTGCCTAAAAATTCCAATGGTCAGGAGGTTTTTGGGGGTTTGTTTTTACTAAAGTTAATACTGCTTTTCTTAACAACAGCCAAATAAATAAGAAATGGGGGGGGAGTGGGGTGGGTGTTGACTAACAGATAGAGAAGCACATAAGTCTCCTGGAAAACAAAAATATCTGAAGATGTAGTGAGTTCTAAATTAATTTTATCTAATATGTGAAAATAATATATCCTTTACAGGGCTTTCTTCAAGCAAAATTCTGTTAAACTCAACTGGCTTACTTTACAATGTACAGCTCCAGCACTTTAACCAAGTAAGAATACTACTTAATTTTTTAAGCTAATGTAACCACTGTTTGGAGAATGTAAGTTGTTTTTTTTTTTAATGTTCTAGATATATCAAGCTTTCAAAATTTATATAGAGAGCCACTGCCAGTCACTCAAAGGTAAATATAAGTCTTCTAAAGTATAAATTCATAAAACAAAGCTTGTTGAAAATTCTCAAGACTGAAGCTGGTGGAAACAGAAGTCCTCTCATGCAATGGGGTTTAGGCAGTACTGTTGTTACCTGCTCAAACATCTCTGCTAATATCTCTCACTTTCCACTTCTTTTAAGAAGGATAGCACAAAGAAAAATGTGGAATTAGTCCTCATATGTTTGTTTTTGTTACTTCACAGCAAAAGGTAACTTGAACTTTCAGCA